TCCCTGGCCCTGGGACAGGTGTGGCGGTGACCGTGTGCTCCCAGGAGGGGGTGCCCAGGGGTGGGCGGGTGCCCCTGCACTCCTGGAATGCCACTGGCCCGCCCAGGTCCCCCACTCAGCCTCGGCTCCCCAGGCCCTGCCTCTGCCCATAGCCAGGAAGGCCGCTCGACCCCTCTGCTCAGAGTTGCCCTGAGCAGCGGCCCAGCCGGACTCTGCAGACAGGACCTGGCCTGCAGTCCCCTCCATAGGCCTGGGGGCCTCCCAGATGCTTGGAATTCTCCCCAGGGTGGCTCCCAGGTGTGGGGTAGGGACTGGCCTGGGGACCTCAGAGGGTGATGCCGGGCCAGGAGAGAGCTAGGAGGGGCAGAGCTGGGCCTGCCTCCCCTTGGGGACTGGGAAGCTGAGGGTCGCTCCCACCTGATGGACGTGCTGGGCCCTCCGGGTACAGAGGACAGGGGCATGGGGGCTCCCCAGCCTGGCCTGTGGCCCCAAGAGACATGTGGAGGCAAATCACGGCGGGCTCTGCACAGGGCTGTGTGGGGTTGTGTCTGGTGACACTGTGCACAGGTGGCATGGCCCTCAAGGACTCCAGGGGTCATCTCCCCTGGGCTCCACCCGCCCTCTGCTCTGCCTGCCAAGGAGCCTCCTGCACTGGCTCTCAGGCCTCCCACTGTCTGGGAGTTCCCTCCAGAGCCCTGGCTGCCTTGGGACAAGGTGTCACCAGTCCATGTCGTACTTCCTGAGCCCCCCAGGGGATGGCTGCACTGGGCAGGGGTCCAGGCAAGGAGATTAGGGCCAGGCCCATGGCAGATGCCTGGTGGGAATGAATGAGTGGCCCCAGAGGTGCCAGGTTGGAGTGAGGGGATGCCCTGCCGTGCCAGGGCCTCACTGGGGTCAGGTTGAGGGAAGGTTCTTGGAGGGTCTGGGCTCAGCTGTTGGCCCAGGGTGACCTCAGACACCTGGTCAACGGACAGAGATGCCCAGCACCCCCAGCCAGGCACGCAGGAGCCTATGCCGCCGACCCCCTCACCTGTCATCATGGGCCCTTCTGGCCCCTCCTGTGATAAGCAGGCCTCAGGCTTCTGCCCACCGCCAGCTCACACCTCCCTCCCCGCAGGCCATGCCCAGGACAGCCCCGCAGAATCCAGCTATGGACACGGCTATCAGTACTACCCCAACATCCCTCCTGTCCCCCAGGGGCCTGGTGGTGAGTCTCGGTGTCCGTCCCCAGCCTATGCCAAACAGATCCCCCGCTGCGGGGCACAGCGTCCCCAGGGACACTTGTCCTGGGGTGGTTTTTCAGTGGCCACTGCCAAGGTCACAACGTGAGGGGTGGAGGACACCCTGCATACACGGCCCTATTGGTCAGCCCATGCAGGACCCACAGGCACTGGGTCTCTGCCAGGCTCTGGCGGAGGTTGAAGGGGAAGGGGCCACACTGTCCACGCCCACATCCCCGAGGGCCAGCTGAGCACTCTGGGGTCTGAAACTGGATCCCATCTTCACAACTCCGTTCACTTCCTGATATGTCAGCAACACGTATGTCTCCTGCACCTGGATGCTGCCGTCTCTGTGGCAACTGGCAGGAGCCCATCGAGGCGGCCTTGATGCCTGGCGGAGGCGGGAGGGCAAGGGAGGCCAAGTGTGGGGGCTTCGGGGATCCCCGCATGCCTCGCTTCGCATGACCTCAAACCCTGCCAGACAGGCAGGGCCCCTGTGCCCGATCTCAGCCCCGAGAGACTGAGTCGCAGTGTAAACCCTGGGCCTTGGACGCATGAGGCCCGGCAGCCCTGGCTCCCTCCAGGAGAGGAGAGGAGGAAGGGTCAGGCGGGATGGCGGGTGTGCCCCAGAAGCCCTGCTGCACCCATGCGTGCACAGTACGCGGCCAGGAGCCCACACCCGAGGCAGAAGCCAGAGTGGGCTCGGGAGCTCAGAGCCCAGACTGACACTGGGTGTCACCACCCCCAAGCCACGTGCACCCCATGAGCCCTGTTTCCGCAGGCAACCCACTCCACGGGGTGACCGTCTTCCCGCCTCTGAGGACCATCCCGGTGGTACGAGGTGAGTGAGCCCGAGAAGGGGCGTGGATTTGCCGAGTCCCTCCCTGGGCCTGCGGTGAGCGGTCTGTGCCCTCGGTGGACAGGGCGGAACCCTTTCCGGGGCAAGTTCCCGGGACTCCTCTAATGGGATCCTGGGCGGGGCAAGTGGGGTGCAGGGCTGAGGGCGGCACCCCCAAAACCCTCGACGGCTCTGGCCCACAGCCCAGAACCCCGCGCACAACGGGCGGGTGTGCAGCACCTGGGGGGACTTCCACTACAAGACCTTCGACGGCGACGTGTTCCGCTTCCCCGGCCTCTGCAACTACGTGTTCTCGGCGCACTGCGGGGCGGCCTATGAGGACTTCAACGTCCAGCTGCGCCGCGCCCGGGAGTCTGGGGCCGCCGTGGTGACCCGGATCCTCATGAAGTTGAACGGCCTGGTCGTGGAGCTGACCAGGGGCTCGGTCCTGGTCAATGGCCACCCGTGAGTCTGGGCCGTGGGATGGCCAGGGCGGCGTGGGGGGGAACCCGCCACAGGGTGGGATGTGAGAGGGAGCGGGGAGGCCGCTCCCGGCCCTGCGTGGGCCCCGCCCCTCCAGCATCCCGGGCTCTCATCATGCCCCTCCCTAGTTCCTGGTGCCACCAGACCTCCAGGAGCCATGTCTCCGCCCCACGTGTGACTCCGTGGTCACAGCGGCCTTGTCACTTTCGAGGCCGTAGCGACCCGCCTGGCTGTGCCCCAGCTTCTTAGCTCCGACCTCTTTGCAGGGTCCAGCTGCCCTTCAGCCAGTCTGGGGTCTTCATCGAGCAGAGCAGCAGCTACCTGAAGGTGAAGGCCAGGCTGGGATTGGTGCTCATGTGGAACCACGACGACAGCCTGCTGGTGAGGGGCGGCGCTTGGGA